CTATCAAAATATATAGTGTCTGGACTCTTAAAAGCTTATAATTAAACAAGCAGTCATCTGGCAGGGTAGCAACAAAGCCCACATAAAAGAAGCCCACCAGCCTGTGTGATCATGAAGTGTCGATGGGAAGAGGTATCAAAAGTTCAAAAACATGCAACCAACTCAATGTTAAGAGGCATGGATGCAATGGATACCCAAAATCCACCTGTAAGATGATTGATCCCTCTCAGAAGGGCCACACAGAAAGGATGATAGAGCCAGAGTGTGGTATGGCACTGATGAACCACATAACTATCCTCTCATTCTTAACATTTCCTCTTACGAGTAAGGGCTTTATGTGTTTTACCTCACTGACCACATTAGATTTGCTAATTTGTATACTTATGATCACGTGGTACATGAAGGTCAAAATGGATGACCCCCTCAGAGTCAGTAACAGGAGTGGTGATTCCCTGAGTGGATGGGAGGAGGGGGCGCTAAGTGGCGGGGAAAGGGGAGTGGATAGCATTGATGATTGAATAACCCCACCTGATAGGATTGAACAATAGAATTGTATTTAAATAGATATATTGGGATGTGTAATATATATCAATAAAACTATTATATTAAATAAAAGAATAGTCACATTTTTCTTTTAAAAATAAGTTTTAAATAGGATATATGGCATGTATTTAATAAAAAAAACTTGTGTTTGTTCTAGATGCACCTGGAAGTTAGTTAAATTTAATGCTTAAGAGGCTACTTTTACAATCCTGTTACTGTGACAATGAACTGGCTGCCAATATAAACGTTGACAGTTGTGATTGTATCTAATTTATATTTTAGAATGATGTCTCCTTATATAAGCATGTACACAATATGTAATGTATAGATACATAGTATATAATGTACATAAAGTTGATTCTGACTCATAGTGACCCTACAGGACAGAATAGAACTCACCATAGTATTTCCAAGGGTGTAAATATTTATGGAAACACTTTGACATTTTCCCCCTTGGCACAGCTGGTAGTTTTGAACCTCTGACCTTCCAGTTAGCAACTGAGTGCTTAAACTATGGTACCACCAAGGGTCGTGTGTGTGTGTGTGTGTGTGTGTGTGTGAGAGAGAGAGAGAGAGAGAGAGAGAGAGAGAGAAGAGAGAGAGATTTTAACGCCTGAAATAAATTGATTTGTCTTAGCTGGTTCTAGTCAGTATTTTCTTTTAGCAAGAGGATTACTTTATTAGATGCTCAAGTTTATCAAATTCTCAGTTGCTGTCTTTTAAAACAAGCCAAATTAGCCTTACTATATATTCTTGAGAACTAAATCAATGTCAACTAAAATGCCGAAGGAAGTGAACAGAAACTTCATGCCACAACAAAGGGGGGATGCAATAATACAGACTTCTGAGGACCTTGAAGGTCATTGCTGAGTAAATTGAGGTCCAAAGGATAAACAATTTGTTCAAAGTCAAACAACTATTTGGCAAATACCATTGCCATCAAGCCAGTTCCAAATCACAGCGGCCCTATACGACCAGTTAGAACTGCCCCATAGGGCTTCCAAGTCTGTGTTTTCTACAGTTGCTGGCTGCCTCATCTTTCTCCCATGGAGAGGTGGGTGGTTTTCAACCACTGACTCTTTAGTTAGCAGCTGAGCACTTACTGATTGTACTACTAGTGCCTTTTCTATTTAATAGAAGAAATATAATTTCATTCTAAGTCTCTTGGCACTCACACCATGAGTGTGCAGTTTCGTCCCATAATAATTTAAGAGATTGCAAATGACTGAATACAGGTGATTTATTTACACATAATAATAAAATGGTATCACAGAGGTTTTATACAACGCAACATTAATAAAATGCTAAATGACACACACATGTACATTATTGTAATCAGGAGTCTATAAAACGGATACATTTTTAATTTATATCTTTTTCTGTTCTTACAGCTGTGTTTGTAAATTGATGGCGAACAAAACTAGGATTTTGGTCACTTCTAAAATGGAACATTTAAGGAAAGCCGACAAAATACTAATTTTGCATGAAGGTAGCAGTTATTTTTATGGGACATTTTCTGAACTACAAAACCTGCGGCCAGACTTCAGCTCAAAGCTCATGGGCTATGATTCTTTCGACCACTTCAGCGCAGACAGAAGAAACTCCATCATCACGGAGACCTTGCGGCGCTTCTCTCTAGAAGGAGAGGCTGCTGTCTCCTGGACTGACAACAGAAAGCAGTCTTTTAAGCAGACCGCAGAGATCAGTGAAAAAAGGAAGAACTCTATTCTCAATTCCATCAACTCCATGAGAAAGTTTTCCATTGTCCAGAAGGCTCCGCTGCCAATGAACGGCATCGACAAGGACTCTGATGAGCCCCTGGAGAGAAGGCTGTCCTTAGTGCCCGACTCTGAGCAGGGGGAGGTCATCCTGCCCAGAAGTAATGTGATCCACACGGGCCCCACGTTTCAGAGGCGGAGGAGACAGTCTGTGCTGAACCTGATGACCCGCTCCTCCATCCACCAAGGCCAAAACAGTCACCGCAAGACAGCAGCATCCTCACGAAAGATGTCTATGGCCCCGCAAGCCAGCCTGACAGAGATGGACATATATTCAAGAAGACTCTCGCAAGACAGCGGCTTAGAAATAAGCGAAGAAATTAATGAAGAGGATCTAAAGGTATGTGGGAAATAGTAAAGGTATGTATGAAGTGTGGGGGCATGGGTACTTCTGTGGGAGCATTCGAACCTTTTGTACAGGAAATGTGGGATTCCGTTTCCAGCCAATGCAGTAAAACTCCTAGCCACCACCACCACCCGTCTTTAGGGGAAGCTTATATGTTGCCGTGACACTGAGCAGGTTTGATGGAGCTGCCCAGCTAAGGCACAGTAAGAGGAAAGGCTGAGAGATCTACTTGGGAAAAATCAGTCCATCCAAGCCCAGTGGGCTGACCCTAGTCCAGTGCATGGAATTGTCATGGGTTGGGAGCTGACGACAGGGTAGCTAGCAACACGATAACATGTTACTTATCCTAGGTCGTGCCATTAAGCATAACCTCCAGGCAGCCAATCCATGATGCTGTTTTACAGACCAAAAGACTTTTATCTTTAAGACATGCAGCAATATAAAGGGGGTCTTATGGAAAGGTGTTTGTAAACTTCCTTACGAGTCTTGGATGAGTGGAAGGACGGCCAGAGTTGTGATGAACTGATTGTTGGACAGGACAGGTCTTTTTAGAATAGTGCACCTGGCAGTGCCCAGGTCCTTTAACACCGCTAGGCTAAACTTTCCTCCTTTCTAGAACAAAGAAACAACACGGATGATCTCTAAAGCATTTACTTTCAATATTTCTTTCATTTAAAAGGCTTCCTAAAGGATATTTTATCTACATGGTTTCATATCAGTCTCCATGAATTTCTTACACCATGCCTCATGAATTTAGTTGTAAAGAATAGTTTCTTTCACTAGTAGCAGTCTGTAGTTATTGCTTGCTTCTAGTGCCAGATAGCAAATACTAGTCCCACCTCTTTGAGTTACTTATCATGGTTCTCAGTTATAGATAAGGAAGCTAGAATTCATAGATGCTTAACAACTCGCCGGAATTCAAACAGCTTCCAGCAAGGTAATGGGCTGGTGCCAAAAATATGCACTCCCTGGTTGGAGCAGTCAGTTAACTCACTTGGCTGCCAGTGGGACTGCTGAAGGTCAAGCCATCCAGGGGTGCCTCGGAAGAAAGGCCTAGCCATCCTACTTCTGAGAAATTGTGCAGGTCCACGCTGACACTCAGGTTTTTTCTTCCTCTACTCCTGCCTGTGCAGACTTAAAGAGTTATGGTCTCAGAAGCCAGTTCTACCCTATCCGATCGGGTCCCTATGAATCGGCCTCAACTTCATGGCAGTGAGTTTGGTCTTTTGAACCAGGATGCTGTAGCCAATTACACAGGATCCCCTTCTTTGAGATCTGCTAACTTCATGAGGAACGGAGCGATCCTTTCCCTTTAGACTCCGTGGATCTGTCTTTGAAAAGTGTTTGAAAAACACCTACCAAAAGGCAAGGATTTCTGGGGATTCAAACCATGTAACTGAAGTCATAGCTGGAAGTAGAGATCATCCAGAATTCCCAGGGAGTTGACATCCATCGGTTAGTCTCCAGACCTCTCAGAAGGCCTTTAGAACTTGCACCAGCCCGAATTGTTCTTGTCTGTGTACTGCTGAAACACAAACAAACAAAGCCCGGAGAGTTCCAGGAAGCTTGTCTGCTCGTGTCGTTCATTCTGTGAAAGCTGCACCACAGTCAGGCATTTGAATGGCAGCTGTTTTCTCCAGTCACATGGCTACTCCATCAGTGCTCTCGGCGCAGAATCTTGAATCTTTGCAACGTTCCTCATTTTCAGAAAGCCCTGTTACCTCAACACACCACACATTTCTGGCATGGCTTATGTTGGTTATCATTTACTTCGGCTCAAATCATACTTTTGTGTCTGCATACTCAAAATACAACTGTGGTACGAGATAGTATCACTTCATTGTCATTGCCGGGATGCTTTCTTCCTCAGGAATGCTTTTTGGACGACGTGGAGAGCATACCGGCCGTGACCACGTGGAACACGTACCTTCGCTACATTACCGTCCACAAGAGCTTAATTGTTGTGCTCATTTGGTGTGTCGCCATCTTTCTGGCTGAGGTAAGGATGTTCCGTGGCAAAATAATCCTGTGATTGAAAGTGACATTGAGACCAGCTTGAAAAGATACACAGATATACACATGTGTAGAAGTATGTGTATACCTATTTCTACATCTCTATGTATATGTAATTTTGAAATAATCACTGAGATAAAGTTCTGCTTAGATCTTAAATTCTGTATATCACACATACAATTGCCATGGCTACTGTATGATTTGAGACATCACATGTAACACATGCTCAAACATCAATATATTGAGAGTTTTTTTTTTAGAGAGAGACATTTGAAAGCACAAAGTAGAAGGCCCAGATGTGGACTGAAATTAAGCACTGAAAATAGTTTTGCACAAAAATGTAAATTCAGTCAACTCCAGGTGTTGCATTATTCACTAGTCACGTGATAGCACACCACATTTAAATGACTGTCCCTTCACAGAATGAGTACACCATTTATACACGAGTATAAGCTGGCTCGGTTATCAGCCGAGGCAACTAATTTTACCACAAAATACTGCATTAAAAATGTGCTGAGAAACTCGGCTTATCTATGAGTATATAAGGTATATAAGTAGCTTAGTAATCATTTCCAACAAACCTAAAGATTCCGAGCATCTGTTTGCTCACATAATATTTTTGGCTTCAATGTTACTGTCATGGCGTGGCATTTCCCCACTAAACGTCACACCGCCAAGTTGAGTGAGAGAGGGAGTGAGCATGCGTGTGAGCAAGCCCAGTGGCCCACACATGTAGTTCTTGAAGCTGGCTGGAGGAGGACACTCTGGAACAGCCACATCAGTGTCAAAGGAGCTTAGTTGAGCAAGTCATGAATTGGGCATGAGACTGCTAGGGGGATATTCACCCTAACAGGGGCCACTGCCACTCAGCACCAGCAGGACATGCCATATGAAATTTAGGACCCATTTTGCCAATCTTCTGATTTACTGGAATAAGCCCAAATGCTTGATTTCCCTGTGAATTTGCTTGTCTGTTTTCAAATGTGGACGGCTGATTAAATAAAGACAAATGAAATAAATGCTTCAATGCGCACAACAAAACCCACCAGTGGCGTGGAATTGACCCGAGTCAAAGCTCTAGATCTTTCCTCTGGAGGACCTGCTGGACGTGTGCTGGTATGAAAACACGATCCAAAAGGAAGGCCAGGTAGGCTGGAGGAAGCGAGTGGAGCAGGAGTTCTGGTGGAGAGGGCAGCCAGGCGAAGGCAGTTCCTGCAAGGCCAGGGCTACTCTGGTGCCTCCTACTTGCCTCTGCTGGCGTTCTTCCCACTGCTCACGAATGCTTATGGTTTGCTGTTGTTGGCTGCTGTGCAGTTTCCATGTTGCCTGGTCCCGTGCTGTCGATCCGCACACGATCGCTGGCATGCTTGAGCCCACTGTTGTGGCGACCATGACAGTCGGTTTCACGGAGAGTTCCCCGAGCTTCTGCCGACCGTCTATCTTGTCAAGCATGGTGCCCCCGTCTGTCAAGTGGACATATCTGATGGCGTGTCCAAAGGAAACAAGGCAATGTCCTCACTTCTAAGGCTCCTTCTGGTTGTCTTCCTTCTAAGACTGATTTGTTTGTTCTTGTGGCGGCTGTGGTATGTTCAGTATTCTTCACCAACACCACAATAGAGTTTGTGGATTCCGTGTCTTTTATCTCCCTGGTTGGGGTTGTGGATTGAGACAGAAATGTGCTTCCTTTTTCCGTTCTCGCCCTTTCTTCTTCCCATTGTTTTTGATAATCCCTAGCCAAGAGCTTCACACACTTCTTCTCGCAGCAGGTGTTCGCAGACAAAAAAGAAGGAGTTGGAGATGTAGGTGCCGAGGAAATGGCGCAAGTTGACTGGTTGGCAGTTTATTTCACGTTGGGTCACTTGGAACTTCTCGGTTCTTTCGTTGGACTGGAGCAAGTGAATCACCCTGTTAGTAAAAGATTTACCCACTCGACCACTCTTTTAAGATTCATAGTGACCAGAATTTATTTGATTTTATTTTTAAAATTCAAAATCTTCATATACAGCCTCTTACTATGGTGTCCTTCCTGTTTGTCACATTGGTGGCATGTTAGAAAAAACTAAATTCAAACACATTTGGAGTTTTTTGATAGATCTGGATCCTGAATGTAGGCTAAATCTTCACATTTTGCTCTTAATGTACTATTCACAGATAAATAGATAATAACTCATGGACATTTATACTTTTTCGCTAAGGACTTCTTGATAGTTATATGTTTCATTCTCTTATCATCATGCTTTATTTTTATTTTTAATGATTTCAGAACATGCAACCATCTCTCTCACACACACCGATACAAGCATCACGTATACACATATGCTTATGTTTACAGACCTCAACAGTCCCAGAGACACGGCATCATTTTATTTCACATTTTATTTTATATGAAACCATTGCCTTTTCAAATAATTTACCCCTCCTCTACCATACTGGAACACAGTAACATTTCAACATCATTGTATTCCCATTGCTTATTCACAAATTATTAAAGGCTCCAGGGTGCATACGAAGAGCAGTACAAGTTTGGAGGCGTTGAAACCACAGAGTTCAAGGTCTTCTTGTGTTTTGGCCTCAGGGTGACCTGATCATTGTTGTTGCTGCAGTTGTTAGGCGCTGCCAAGTCGGTTCAGACTCAGAGTGACTCAGCATAGGTACGTGGGAGCCCATCTTTGCAGCCACTGTGTCAATCGGTCTCATCAAGGATCGACTTCTGTTTCGTAACCTTCTGCTTCACCAGGCACGGCGTCCTTCAGGGAGGGACTGGTCTCTCCTGATGACATGTCCAAAATAGCTGAGACAACGTTATACCAGCCTCATTTCTGAGGACCCTCTGGCTGGTTTCTTTCAAGACAACCTTGTTCCTTCCCCTGCCAGTCTATGGTTTGTTCAATATTCTTTGCCAGCACGGTGAATCAAGTGTGACTCAGTTCTTTGATCTTCCCTGTTCATTGTTCAGCTTTCACATGCAGCTAATCATGTATCAGTATGTAAATCATGGAAGCCCAAACTGGCATGGATGCATTTTTTCCTATTGATAGTGTTTCTAATTGCAGTCTGGAAAGTAGTAGTATGCATGATTGTTCCTCCCTGGTCAACCAAGGGAGTGTTAAGTCCCTTTTTAAAGTATGTACTAAAAAGTTGTATGTATTCCTGTACAACATGGGTTTCTATTCAATCTCTTAAGTTTGGGTGATAACTTTTCTTTTGTCCTGCTAGTTTCTCAACAGACAGAATGGAGGCTGGATGTGGGATACAATTTAGAACCAGACTGGCATAAGTTTATCTCACTAACAGTGTGAAATGGAGTAATTTATTTAACCTTTTGGAACCTTGGCTTCCTCATGTATACAATAGAGATTGCAGAAGTCTGAGCTTTCTAGGTCATTGTATGGATTAAAAGACAACATCCCTATTAAAAACTTAGTGTACCACATGGAAGAACATATCAGCTTGTGTGATCACGAGGTGTCGAAGGGATCACTGAAGACAAATGGGTGCATAAGCAAATGTGGCAAAGAAAGCTGATGGTGCCCAGCTATCAAAAAGTATAGAGTCTGGGGTCTTAAAGGCTTGAAGGTAAACAAGTGGCCATCAAGCTCAGAAGCAACAAAGACCACATGGAAGAAGCACACCAGCCTATGCAATCACCAGGTGTTGAAGGGATCAGGTATAAGGCATCATCAGAGCAAAAAAATCATACCATAGTGAATGATGGGGGGAATGCGGCGTGGAGACCCAAAGCCCATTAGTAGGCCACTGGAGATCCCCTTGCAGAGGGGTCTCGGGGAGGAGACGAGCCAGTCAGGGTGTGATGTAGCAACGATGAAACATACAACTTTCCTCTAGTTCCTAAATGCTTCCTACCCGCCCCCACTATCATGATATGAATTTTACCTTGCAAGTCTGGCTAGACCAGAGGATGTACACTGGTACAGATTGGAACTGGAAATACAGGGAATCCAGGGCGGATGAGCCCTACAGGACCAGTGGTGTGAGTGGCGATACTGGGAGGGTAGAGGGAGAGTGGGTTGGAAAGAGAGAACCGATTACAAGGAACTATATGTGACCTCCTCCCGGGGGGACGGACAACAGAAAAGTGGGTGAAGGGAGACGTTGGACAGGGCAAGATATGACAAATTAATAATTTATAAATTATCAAGGGTTCACAAGGGAGAGGGGAGTGGGGAGGGAGGGGAAAAATGAGGACCTAATACCTGGGGCTTAAATGGAGAGTAAATGTTTTGGAATGATGAGGGCAATGAATGTACAAATGTGCTTTACACAATTCATGTATGTATGGTTTGTGATAAGAGTTGTATGAGCCTCTAATAAAATGATTAAAAAAATAACTAAAAACTAAAAACTTAGTGTAGCAGTTGGCACACAGTGAGTAATGCTCGCTCGTTTTATTATTACTATTCCTGATGTCATCATTCCTATTATGAAGTTCAGCATAATTTGAGGTGGTCAAGTTCTTAAGAGTGTTATTAATGAAAGTTTGATCAATTCTTTTTATACTTTAACAAAAATACAGGGTTGGGCAAGAGTGGGTGACAGAAGTTATATTCTTTGATACCCTCGCCTAAGTAATAAATATTGCATTAGAATGCAATTTTTCTTACTAATCTCTGCCAGTCATACCAAATGTCCAGCATTAATGTGTATGAAAACCTAGTCGTATGCCACACTTAATCTCAAACTAGTCCTTTATCTTTAGTAATGATTTGAATGTCTGCATTGAAAGGACACATTCATTATCTTCAACTCATAGAGTTACATAAAAAAATTGTCATATTTGAATGTGGTGATTTATGCTAATTGACAAGACCTTTGGCCCCTATAATTTCTTAGAGCTGAACTTACGCACTTTGCAAAATGTTGTATACCTAATTAATGATCATTGAATTTCTGTACATGTGTATAATTTTACTACCTCACTTCATTAAGAATATAATGGTCCTTTGTCTTGGGGCAAGAAACTTACTTATGACAAAGGATATGAATGTTTTTTTAACTACCTATTATTAGTTGAGCTTTCATAATTATCAAACACACCAAAATTTTTTAATGGACAGAGGGATGAATAGTGTACTTTAATGGACAAGAAGTAATAAAATAAATGAAAGCCTCTTTGGTCAATATCTTTTCGATATCACCAGTTAACTGGCTCTTGAAATTGAGTGTCAAAAACTTGACAATAAAAGACATTGTGTGAATTCTGTTCACAAAGTTATACAGGTGAACAGATATTGTTCACTAATTTTCACAATTCTACTGCATTCTTTGAATCAAAATGTGTGTAGTTTTTATTCTAGATTGGGCTCCCCGTGATGTCAGGGTGCACCTTTCTCTTCAGCCTTGCAAGATCTCATTGATATCTTTGCATTATGGTGCAGACACTAATCCAAGAAAATAATTTAGGTTTTTCTCTCACCGTTAAGGCCTCGCACGCTTGATCAGAGACTCTAAGAAACGTTGAAATGCATTTCTTCTTTGATGAAAATGATTTATTCTTTTTTAATTTTCACAAGAGTTTATCGCAAATAAGATTTTGTTTTCAAAGAGCAGATTCATCGTGCCTCCCATTCGCCATGAAATAGCTATCCTTTGAAACATTTCTTCTGAGATGTTAACCTTAAAAATTAATTTGTTTTATTTAATGTGTTGGTGCTTGTAATTAATATGTCATTTTGAAAAAAATAGTCTACCTTTGTATTTTTGAACCATTTACCCCACTCCAGGGTAATCTTTTCTGTAAGTTCTTCATTACTAGCGCACAATATACGATTCTGTGTCCTAGTGCCATCCCTGATGACGTGCCTGACTCACTAAAAGTCATGAAGTTTGACGCCTCCAGTGCTCTGTGGTAAAAATATGTGGCAGCTCACTCCTGTCAAATTTCAGAGCCCTGGCAATCCAATGCGGGCAGTTCTACTGAATTCGATAGCGATGCTGTCAGTCAGAATGGACCCAGTGGCTGTGGGTTTGGCTGGATTTTAATCAGGTTATAAAAGTCTAATTCATTTTGGCTTTTCTAGGGGTTTAGCTTGGCAGTATATAATCAACTAGACAGAGAAAGAAAGCAGATGGTAAATTAAGAGGCAATTGTCTGTGTTATTTTATTGTTATTTATGGATCAGAGAGTGTTGTTGTTGACTGCATTACCTAAAAGTCCTGTGTAGTGCTTCTGTTTTGTGATTTTTTTTTTAAAGTGGTGCATCAGAGAACAGCTATGTCCTCATCCTTTCTTCATGACTTGTGAGCTATTTATTAATGAGGTCTCACTGGGCAGTTTGCCTTTGTGTTAGTCTGGGTAGACTAGAGAAACAAATCCAGGGAGACTCATCTGTGTTTAAGGTTTATATCAAAGAGTAATTGCATATTATGAAAACATCCTATCCCAGTGCAGATCAAGTCCATAAGTTTGATATTAAACCTTATGTCTGTCACCAGGCTATCCATTCCTCTGCAGACTCACACAAACATGCAATGATGCCGAATACAGGAAGATCAGAGGCCACTGGGTGGAAAGTCTTGTGGATCTAGTAGTGGTGGAACCATCTCAGTGCTGGCGTGGTTCTCTACGTGGCTCCTTCAGCTCCAGAGCACTGGCTAGATCATTGTAGCTTCTATGTGGCTTGTCATCAGGAATGTCTAGCAGAGAGAGTGTGTGTCCCACCTCCAGTGGGCTATTTATATCTATTGTGCCTCCACAGGAGGTCATCAAGCTGCTACCTGATTGACAGGCTAAACTCCACCCCTTCACTCTTAATAGTCCCAAGTTGACACCAGATTATGTAACTACCACAAGGAAATGTGATGCACTCCCATGATTCCATTGTTGATATTAAAGGTTGTTATTTTGTAGGCAGCTTTCCTAAGCATGGTTCTGTGTCTTAGGACAAGGGCTTGTCCTCTGAGGCATCCGAGTCTGTGTCTTATGCCTTGTCCAGGTGTCAATTACTGGCTGTCATTTCTGTAGCTATTTACTCATTCAACACATACTTATTGTGTCCCCACAATGGGCCAGGCACGACACTCTGTGCTGTGTGTACGGTGAAGAGCCTGACAGGAGGGAGAGCAGGAATGCACCAACAAGCCTGTGTTTATAGCAAACCCACCAGAATCACTGCTGTGCTCTGCCAGGGCAAACAATGCAAGATTAGTAGTGTTTTAAGGACATCGTTGTGGCTTGGAGGTTTGCACTGCACTTTGTATATGTGGATCCTGCATATCATCGGTTCTCAACCTGTGGGTCGTGACCCCTTTGGGGGTCAAACGGCCCTTTCACAGGGTTATGAAGTAGCAGCGAAAATAATTTTATGGTTGGGGGTCACCACAATATGAGGAACTGTATTAAAGGGTTGCAGTATTAGGAAGGTTGAGAACCACTGTTCTATATCATCATTCGATAATTTTCTCTCTAATGGCATTTAAAAGTAGGCGTTTATTTCTGTATCCCTTCAGTCATCTATGCTTTCATTTATTAAACAAAATTACCTTGAATCCCAACATTGAGCAGGTAAAGGCCTGGGAATATCATAGGGAAAAAGACAACAATGGCTCCTCCCTGCGCTGAGGCAGCACAACCAGGGCAGAGAAGAAAGATAACACATGTCTAACTACAGAGTTTCACAAGCAAGGAAAGAAAATAAACAGTGGTGTGATATGATTTTAAAAAGTCAACCAGAATGGCTCCTCCATTTTAATTTCACCTTTTCCATTAATCAGTGGGTCTCACGGATACTAGTCCCCTACGATACTAATTGCAGGGTGAATGAAATTATTTGTAGCAACTACTCTGATGAATATTCTGGTAGAAAGTTAGGTGGTGTTTCAGTCTACCCAGGACCTTACTGCACCACTTGTCAGTGTGTCTGGCTGTAAGCTTCCCTCTCCAAATCAATCTACCATTGGCAAATTTTAGCCAGACTTTGTATCCAGAGACTTTCTGTGCGTGACAATCTCCGTAACCATGGCTGATCTTTTGCAAGAGGATAGTGGTCTAGTTATTTTTAAAAAATGTAAGTTTATTTATTTAAAACTTCTAACTGAAACTTTAGCTCTCCTGTGAAGTTCAATGAATAGTTCCTGTTGAATGAAGGAGAAAAATGACCAAGTATTTACTTCAGTGAAATTTGATTTTCACAATCATTGCAGCTGTGGGGCCCAGGAGAGTAAAGTCAAAGAAAATGAAATCGTGTGTATTTTGATGCTGGCCATGGGAGAATTAGAAATGCGTGTGGGAGAAATGGCTAAAAAGATTGGAGAAAAAAACCACCCAAAACCAATCAATTGTTTATGATTCTTTTCCAGGTGGCTCTTTCTTTGGTCGTGTTGTGGCTGCTTCGAAGGTGAGTGTTCCTGTCTTACGCTGGAGTGTTTATCTCCGTTGACCATTTTGGTCACACTAAATATCGCAACATCGAATGGGCTTCATTACCCTCAAGTAGCATCACCAGGGAAAGTCTACTTATTCGGGTTAAAATTGCAGGCAAGCTCATGCGAAGTTTCCACAGCCCTTTGCAATGTCTAAAGGAACTCGTGATGGGCTGTTTCCCATGAAATGATGAAAATATTTGAAACAACATTATACATTTAAGAGTTTCTTGAAATGTGTTTATGTAATAAAGGTCAGCCTCCTCGATCTTAGTGGTGAGAAAGCTTGATTTGTTTGTAGTAGTCAACGTCTTTGAGATTAAAGGCACCGACTCTTCTAATAATGTATATTGTCTTTTTGGGGTTCAAATTTTGTTTCATTCGCACAATCTGAAACTCAGGAGGCACAGTTAGTTGTGTGATAACAATGGTCCTTTCATTTTGCAGTTCCTCTCTACAAGACAAAGGAAATAGCACTACTGTGAATGCCACTAACAGTAGCACCTATGGCATCATCGTCACTGGCACCAGCTCGTTTTATGTTTTCTACATCTATGTGGGAGTAGCCGACACTCTGCTGGCCCTGGGATTCGCTAGGGGTTTGCCACTGGTACATGCCCTCATCAAAGTGTCGAACATTTTACACCGCAAAATGTTGCATTCTGTTCTTCAAGCACCTATGTCGACCTTCAACACGTTGAAAGCAGGTACTTTGATTAGGTGCACAACATGAAACTGCTCACCCACCACCCAAGGTGGTGCCTGTGGCTGCGTGGCTTTTCTGGTTGTGTGTGGGTGTTTTCCATGGAGGCCTCTTCCCTTTGTGGTTGGCCTTCTGCGCTTCTCAGAGAGCGTGCTGGCATGCACTGTTGCTCCTGATGTTGTCCTACCAGGCACACAGAGTCGCTTGGCTTGCGAAAGCGTGATGCTGGTGGGGCTGTTTCTGCCGGTGCTCCCTTCGGAACCCCCACGGGCGCTCACACTTTCCAGCCTCTCCCGTTGCTTCCCATTCCCTGCAACACTGCTCAGCGTCGGCTCCAAACACACTCTATTTCACCTTTAAATGACTGCTATTCACTTCTTTTCCCACCCACTTGCTGGACTCGCCAATACCTTAACCGACTTTGTAAGATGATTCTTGAACAACTCTAGTTTTTGAAGGCCTGTGTATATCGCCAAGAATTAAAATAGCAAGATGATCTTACAACATTCGTGCAACATCTACTTGCCCTTCAGCTGCCCCTCTCCATCCCCGCCCTAGGTTCTGGATGCCAGTGCTGGGCTTTCTGGAAGCAGCAGCCTGTTGCTGATTTGTGCACCATTTGTTCTCGCTGTGACACTGGACGTCCTCTGCTCTGCCTGCCGGCCACCGGGTGCGCTGCCCCCGGGCTTGCCCTGATGAAGTGTGTGCTGGCCTGGCTTTCTGACTCTCCCCTGATGTTCTGTCACTGCAAAACCACACAGGGGCCTCGTACGTGCTCAATAACACATTAACCAGTGGTTCTCACCCTTCCTCATGCCGCGACCCTTTCATACAGTTCCTCATGTGGTGGTGACCTCCCCCAACCATAAAATTATTTTCGTTGCCTCTTCATTACTGTCACTTTGCTACTGTTATGAATTGGCCGACCCCTGTGAAAGGGTCGTTCCATCCCTAAAGGGGTTGTGACCCACAGGTTGAGAACCACTGTGTTAAACAAATGAAAGTGTAAATGCATATTTACACCAAATGTAATTTGAAATGTATCAAATTGTATATTAAGTATGTCCATGTCACAAAGAGTCAGATTGACGTGATGGCAGTGCATTTGGTGTTCTGGTTTAGGTGTGTGTGCTGGTGTTTAAACACTAGAGAGCCTCAAAACTTTCATGAAAAAAATCTCATTTTCTTTTAATTCAATTTTTCCATGGACTTTTTGAAACAGTTTCCTGTGTATACACACATATGTTCAACTTTACATGCATATATATACATGCATGTACGGATGGATACAAGCATATACATATATGTGTGTATCCACAGATAAGGAGTCCTAAGGGTGTCGTGCCTTACACATTGGCCTGCTAACACAAGCTCCGCAGTTAGAACCCACCAGCACTCTGAGAGACAAAAAGGAGACTTTCTGTTCCCTAAAGATTTCCGGCTTCGGAAACTCACAGGGGCAGCTCTACTCTGTCCTACCGGATTGCTAAGAGCTGGAATTGACTCAGTAGCAATGGGTTTGGAACACACACACACACACACACACACACACACACAGATATCTCTGTATTTTACCAAACCCAACTTTCATTTTATAAACATCCTTATTTAAGTAATAGGAACTAATTTTTATCAGGTTTTGGGTTATTTAGATATATGTGTTTAAATATGGGAAATGCTGACCCTGTAGGACGGGGTAGAACTGCCCCTGTGAGTTTCCATTATTGTAACTGTTTGTGGGAGTAGAGAGCCCGATCTTTCTCCCACAGAGAGGCTAGTGGTTTCAAACTACTGACCTTGCAGATCGCAGTTCACCGAAGATGTTTCACGAAAACACAGAGGTGCTGAAAAAACATGCACTAAATGGGGGGAGGCGGGAAACTAGGACTAGAAGTGATTGTGCTTACACAGCTCATTTTAAAGGCGCTTTAACGATGGGAGGGTTGTTCAAAAATTAACTGTGCTTATGATTGTACAATTCTTCTGGACACGATTGAATGACTGAACTACTGAGTTGTATGATATGTGGATTGGGTGCCAATAAAAATGTTTTTAACATGCATTAACTGTATTAAGTGGGCTCATAGGAGGAAGGGATTAATCCCAGCTGGTAGCAACACATTCTTGCAGGAGGGATATTTGTGCTGACAGGACTGAGATGGAAATTTTCACAAATAGAGCCAAAGAGAAAGATTTTCAGATAGAGGGAACAAAATGAGGAAGGCTGAGAGGGAGAAAGCTCAGGGTGTGTTTAAAGAAAAGACTAGTTTGGCACAACTAGAATCTTTAAGTAGAGGAAGCTTGAATTGACTGGTGGCTTCAGGCCAAATCATGGAAAACATTAAATATTAAGCTAGAAATGTTAGACTTTACGCTTTAGTTACTGGGGGATGTGTGATAAGATCCAATATCTCTTTGTAGTGTATTAGGTTACATGTTACCTAATTATATACTTAACAACTCCCCACCTCCACCCAAAGACCAAGAATTACTAAAGAGCAAAGAGCACAACCCATACTTCTGAGTTATCTCTGTGCTTAGCTCTGTGCCTCACACAAGGTAGACACTGCATGTACAACTTCGTTCATTGCAAGCACGAATGATCGTGTGATTTGAGTCTAGAAGGTAGAAGATGGGTTGAAGCTTAGGCTGCCGGTGAAAATGGTAGACAGAGGGAGACATGGCATGATGACTGGACAGGGCGAGGGGGCAGATACTGATCTGATAGAGGTGTGTTAAAACATAAGGAAATGTGAGGAGCAGGAAGGCTGTTGTAATGTATAGCTGTAAACAGTATATCTAGTACCTTGTCATTGCAATCAGGCTATAGATGTAAGGCTGCGGCCTTGTGTACTAAAGACTGGCAATTTGGACTTACTTTTGGAAATCCTGTGGGGCAGCACTACTCTATCCTATAGGGTTTCTAAGGGGGGGAGTCGATCCAGTGGTAACACCTTTCATTTTTCTATTCAAGGCATTGGTTTGAACCTGACCTTAAGAGGAATTTATATTTTACAATTTAAAAATAGGAAAGACTATTGTGAACATGTAATTATTTAGAACCTTTATCTAATGCTCTTATAAGGCCCTTTTACATGTGAATTCTTATTTGCGTTCTGAATGCTTCGGCTTTCTTTTGAGTTTCATATTAAATAGATTGCTATGTCTTTCTTACAATAGTGATGTTTCAAGAATTTTTTTTCTTTACATTGTAGGTGGGATTCTTAATAGATTCTCCAAAGATATAGCCATTTTGGATGATCTTCTGCCTCTTACCATGTTTGACTTCATCCAGGTTTGTAAAAAAGTAGCTATTATTAAGTGTTATGGCACTGATCATGCTGATTTAAAAAATGATGATGAAAAGAATTAAATGAGTTTTTTCTCACTTTTCATTTAGGAATGGAAATCTTACCTATTGTGTGAATTTTATAAATATCAAAAGTCTTCAGAATAGGGATATATTTAGTAATAAGTTGGAACTGGTTTTCTTGACTCCAACTATCTCCTTGGGAATGATTTAAGAATTACAGAAAACCACCCTCCTCCAAATGGCGAGCTACAAAGCATCCCTGTTTTGACATTGGTATCACTGCTTGTGAATCCCTACATGGTGCACATGTTTCATGTACTCAACTGCTCCCTGAGAGACAGTGGTTCAAGTCCACAGAAAACAGTTTTCAGGACCTACTTCTAAAAAAGAATCAACCACAGAAAATCCTATGAAACCCAGTTTGACTCTCACACACACAGGGTCACCTGGGTAAGAATTTCCATTAAGGCAAGCATTGATAAGTGCCCACTGGACACCAAAGGCCCATGCAAAATGAAAAACATGATTTGCCGACTCCACCCCTTTAATTCAGCTGCACCCACTAGCACTTTGGCACAGACTAGCTAGCCTGTGATATGTAGCTAGAAGCATAGATTAAGGATTTAAAAGGGAAGGGAAATTCAGGGCATTGTGAGAGTGATCCTTGGCCAGTAGATCTGAATAGGCCTCCAGTGAGGCTGGATCTGAGGATAAAGGACCACTGGGGCAGGTGGCTGACATGTCCAGAGAAGAGGAACAATGATACTCATACCAATGTCCAAACAGGCATGCTTTGTGCTTTGTCATTTAGGGAAGGGGGGTCTTCTGTGCTCCTCAAATCATTTCTGGGTAGACATGGAAACACAAAGTTACAAAAAGGATATTACACCTCCACAGTTCAACTATCAGCCAAACAACGGAGCACTGACAGGCCTATAAGGTGAACGGTAACATCAGGCACATACACACTCCCTAGAACAACCAGCCAACGGAGATCGGGGGCAGCATTTACCCAGGGATAAGGCTCAGAAAGCAAGAAGGGAGAAGAGAGAGGACACACTGAAATGATAAACCCAGGGAAGAAATGGGAGAAGTGCTGTTACATTGTAGGGGTGGCAGTCAACGGCAGGAAGCCACATGAATTGTTGAATGGGAAACCAGTTTGCCCTGTAAACCCTCACCCGAATCACCTTAAAGCGTGAGGGGAAGGAAAGAGTCACTGCATTAGGACTCTGTCAGTGACAGGACTTACAGAGTGTTATGAGCGGATAACCTTGGCCTTCAGGTCGAACACAGCTGCTTGTCTCGGGGGAACTCCAGCGAGCAAAGGCCAGTCTCAATAGACATCTTGGAAAAAAAGTTGAAACAAGATGCTGCCTGTCATGGAATGAGTCATGCCACCCTCTCCTCCAAACTCCAAATGTATCACACTGTGTCTGAGAGCACCTGTAAAGCTGAAGAATGACTTCATGTGTATATACAACGGACTTTGGCAGGTACAGAAGATCCAGGCCATGAGTTTGCCCAATAGGAAATGATTGACACAACCCAATGCATGTATTGTCCCAGGGCGCTTTGACTTTGTGGATTCCTTCCCATTTTCCCTGCTTAGTGTGAGAACGCGGCAGCAGCTGCTCACACTGTCCTCTTGTTCGGAAGTTCCTCCAGCGTTTATTTTGTAATCCTCTCACTAAGAGCACCTGGTCAGAATATCAAATAAGTGAAGCCAGTGCTGTTAAATGTGTGCAGAATGCTAAGCCGTTATTCTCCGACCTCAAGACCTAAGCAGGACAGCCTCGTAGACAGTTGAGTTATTTCCCTCAAAGCTCACACTTCATTTTTTTTTACTTCTTTTGGGGTTTGGGCTACATTTAAGACCAGCAGTTGGCACACTTGTGAGACTTTTGAGACAGAGGGCCAATCCTGTCCCTCAAAACAATTTAAAAATGATTCGAGAGCCATAAATATATTTTTACAAATAAGGAAAATTTAAAATAACATTATAAATGAAACTATGGTAGTTTATTTTCATTTTAATTTTCAGAGCTACGTGTATTACCAATAAAGCCACATGTTGGCTCTGGAGCCACAGTTTGCCAACTCTTGCTTTGGACAATTGTAGGTGCTGGTAGTTTGAGTACCGCGTGATACCACTTCACTTTCAAATGTGCTCATGGTTTTAGATCTTCTCCAACACAGTATATAAGCTTTTATGATAGCCTCAATGGTACGTAGTTACAGTTTCATCCCTCACAATCCTTATCATATCCGCACTCTTTAGCAATGCAACATTATTGGTGGAAAGTGGTTTATAGAATAGCACTTTTCTTGAGAGGAGCCCTGGTGGAGCAGTGGTTGAGTCAGTAAGTGCATGCCTGTTAACTGGTGTGCCAGTGGTTCAAACCTGCCAGCACCCTCAAGAGAAAGGACCTGGTGATCTGCTCTCATAGCAGTAGGAGCCTTGGAGACCCTAAGGGGCAATTCTACTCTATCGGGGCCGATAGGAGGTGGTGTTAGACAGGGTTCTCTAGAGAGACAAAACCAGATTGCTATGAATTATATATATATATTTATACAGAGAGATATATAACACAAGAAATAAACAGTTAAATTATAAAGCAGTACAAATGGCTCAGTATAATTCAAACGTGGTAGAGAGTTGTGAGACACTGTCAGTCCTTCAAGTCTTGAGGGCCGTGAGGTAGTCCTCTGCAGAGAGATTCAGGCTATCTGGGCACAGGCAGCAAACAGCAAGTCAGGCCACCAACAGTCAGCTAGATGACAGGGTCTGACAGTCCCCAGCTTAAGAGATGTAAATTCCAATTGTGTGGCAAAGCAGGTCTTGAAGGAACCTCAAATTACAGCAACACAGTCCATAGGTTAGGTGTCCCACAGGTAGTGTAGCTTGCAAATTGAGGCAGAGAACAAGAAGGCAGCCACACACTGGTCGGATGATCAAAGAGTGAGAGACAAGAAAGGCGAGGCTTGCCGAGCCCTTTATCTCTCCGCCCTTCAGTTAATCCCACATGTGCTTGTCGGCCAGGTTGGCACAATAACAACCTCAGAGGCCTTTCTGGAATTAACCCAACAGCACACCGTAACATCGTGTTTCTTCTTACACACACACACACACACACACACACACACAATTTCCCTGGTGGCACAACAGTTAAGGGCTCAGCTGCTAACCAAAATGTTGCTGGTTTGAATCGACCTAGCAGCTCAATGTGGAAAACAACAAAGCAAATCAAAACAAAACACTCTACTGATGTGCTTCTGTAAAGATGACAACCAGGAAACCCCTCCGGAGCAACTTCTGTATCACATGCATGTGAGAGTTGGCCATTGAATAAGGAAGACCAAAGCATAATTGATGCACTGCAATTGTGGCACTGGAGAAGAATATTGAAAGTACTGTGGACTGCCAAAAGGATAAACGAATCTGCCTTAGAAGAGGTAAGGCCAGACTACCAGAAGCTCTTTATAGGCAAAGATGTCAAGATTTCCTCTTACATACTTTGGACATATTGTTAGGAGAGACCAGTCCCTGGAGAAGGACATCATGCTTAGTAAAGTGGACGGGCAGCGAAAAAGAGGAAGGCCTTTGACGAGATGCATCGACACAGTGGCTGCAGCAACAGACTCGGGCATAAGAACAATTGTGAGGAGATGCAGGACCATGCGCCATTGCAGTCTTCTTCTTCAGCACCACCATTCAAATGCATGGCTTCTTCTTGGGTCTTCTTTTTTCGGTGTTCAACGTTCACATGCACACGAGGCCACTGAAAAGAGAGTGGCTTGGGTCTGGTGTACCTTAGTTCTCAAAGTGATTGCCTTGCTGCTCAATACTCCAAAGAGGTCCTCTTAGGAGATTGACTTAATGCAATTTATAATTCATCTTTTGAATTCCTGACTGCTGCTTCCATGAGCATTGATTGGTAGAATTCTTCAATTTCTCCATAGCTCTCTTGGGTGGTTGGTACGTGAATCTGGATACTAGTGGTATTGATTGGATTTTTTTGAGGGCAGATAGGTGTGTCCCTATCATAGATTGCATTGTACTTCAGAATAGAACTTGAAATGTCCTTTGTGACAATGAATACAATTCTATTCTTGATTGTGTCATTCCCAGCATAGTAAGAGATGTGGTTTTCTTATTCAAAATGGCCAGTACCATCCATTTCAGCTCATTAGGATATTCATCTTTATGTGTTTCATTTCATTTTTGACTACTTCCCATTTTTTTAGATTCATACTTCATAAATGTCAAGTTCCAAATATTAGATATTTGCAGCTGTTTCTTCTTACCTTGAGCCTTTCCTTATCAGCAAGTGAAGATACCAAAGATTTACTCCCAGAGACTTTATTCATGTCACCATGGTCAACTCTACTTTGGGAAAGCAGCTCCTCTCCTTCCCAGTCACATCTCAAATACCTGCTGACCCTGGGGGCCCACCTGCCGGCACCATCTCCAGCAATATTCTGCTTCCATTCATTAGGCCTCCGTCTCTAACATAAGGATTTCTGTGGCTACTTCCTTCAAAATGGGGAGCCACAGCCTTCTTTGTTGTCTGTTTTTAGTCAGGAAGCTCCGCTGAAACCTGTTCTCTCTGGTTGATCCTGCTCGCATTTGAAGTACCAGTGACATAGCTTCCAGCATCATAGCAACACACAAGCCCTGACAGTAAGACAAACTGATGGACAAATGGTGGATGCTAGAAATAGGATGCCAAAATTAACACAGAACATTTGCAAACAGAAGATCATGTGATCTTAACTGACTAACTGACTATAATCCAACAATTCAATGGTTTCCATCCTTTAGATATGGCGGTATTTAATGTGATAGCCTTGTTAAATCACATTTATGAGTTCACCAGATTTGAAACTTATTTTTTTTCCTTTTAATCTCCCCAAAGGTTCTATTACTGAGAAATGATTGGCCTAGATTTTTTAAAAAGCTAGTTCATATTTGATGGAGCACTTTAACGTGTAGTAACTAGGGCATTAGCTTTATGGCACAGCTATTCAGCACTCAGCTGCTAATCGAAAAGTTGGCAGTTCAAACCCACGAGCCTCCCTGCAGCAGGAAGATGAGGCAGTCTGCTTCCATAAGGGTGACAGGCGAGGGGAATCGATGGTGCTGCGCTGAACTATCCACAGAGCCACTGTGTGTCAGAATGGACTCAATGACACTGAGTTTGTCATTGGGTTTGGTCAAAGTAGGGCTTTGGGGGCTTTCTCGTCGTATTATTGTTAGTTTGTAGGCCAATATTGGAATATGGAAGATTTTCCTTCGGATGTTGCATCATCGTGTGGACCATATCTGATGCTTCCAAACCCAAACCAAACAACTGCCATCAAGTCGAGTCCCACACATAGCAACCCTCCAGATTAGTGGTTCTCAACCTGTGGGTCACAACCCCTTTGGGGATCAAACGACCCTTTCACAGGGATCGCCTGATTCATAACAGTAGCAAACTGACAGTGATGAAGTAGCAACGAAAATAATGTTATGGTTGGGGGTCACCACACCATGGGGAGCTGTCTGAAAGGGTCGTGGCATGAGGAAGGTGGAGAACTGCTGCTCTAGGACAGGATAGAGCTGCTCCTGTGGGTTTCTGAGACAGTACCTCTTTACTGGAGGAGAAAGCCTCACCTTTCTCTCATAGAGCCGCTGGTGTTTTTGAATTGCTGACCTTGGTTTTAGCAGCCCAACATGTAGCCATTATACCATCAGTACTCCTACTGAAATTTTATCTATTTCTTGAATGAATTGGGGATCTGGAATTACAGATTTTGAAGGCTGGTGAACCAGAGGAGTTTTCTCTTAGAAAATCTCTAAATTACTAAGACATGATTCTCTGAGGTTTTAGATGAAAATAACAACAACAAAAAAGCAACCCATTGAAAGATGATTTCTGAACTAGACTCATCAGACGGCCCTATCTACCAAAATTGGTATGCATTCCACTCCCTGCTAGAAGGCACTAACACACCTGTGGAAGTTGGTAGAGAATTAGCTCACTGCTTAGCAAGTGGATGTTATAAAAGACTTCTCTTTTCTTTTTTTAAATCAGTTTATTGGGGGCTCATACAACTCTTATCAAAATCAATAATTGTATCAAGCACATTTGTACATCTGGTGCCATCATCATTCTCAAAACATTTTCTTTCTACCTTGATATTGGTTCCTCATTTTCCCCCTCCCTTCTTCACCCTTCCTCCCTCATAAACCCTTGATAATTTATAAATTATCATTATTATTCTTGTCTTACACTGTCCAATGTCTCCCTTTACCCACTTTTCTAATGTATATCCCCCAGGGAGGGGGTTATATGTAGATCATTGTGATCGGTTCTCCGTTTCTCCCCCACCTTGCCCTTCCTCTCCTGGTATCTCTACTCTCATTATTGGTCCTGAGGGGTTTATCTGTCCTGGATTCCCTGTGTTTCCAGCTCTGATCTGTACCAGTGTACTTACCCTGGTCTAGCCAG